ATTTCTCCTCATAGAGCCCAGCCTCCCGGATAATCTGTTCTGCATACAGGTTGTAAAGGTATGGAGATAGGATGCATCCCTGGCGTATGCCCTTCCCAATTTTGAACCATGCAGTGTTCCCTTGCTCGGTTCTGACAACTGCCTCCTGGTCCAAGTATAGGTTTCGCATTAGAATGATCAAGTGCTCTGGGATTCCCATTCTTCTCAGAGTCAGCCACAGTTTGCTGTGGCTGACTCTGAGAAGAATGGGATCATAACAGAAAGGTTAGCACAGGAAAAAAATAATTTACATATTTTTCCTAGAAGCATGGGGATGGGGCTCTCTTTAGGAAAAGATTAATAACCTAGAAGCACGGGGGAGTTTTCTTTTGGGAAAAGGATTTAACAGTCATTATGGTTATGTACAGTCAGAAACGACTCAGATAGCTGACCCTTCAGAGGCAGTCAATTAAGTGCACATTAGGAGACTGGCCACACAGAGCAACTGGTGGATTCTTCAGGTTGGCAGCTCAGCTTCTTGCTGCTAGGTCACTAGAGTTTCCTAATTATCTTTTAAAAATCCATTACCCTCAAACTCACAGTCCAAGTCTGAACTCAAAGTGACCCACCATCAGGTGTCCAAAGTTGTCAAATCACAAAGGGGAGAGACTGCTCATCATTTCCAGAAGAGCAACTGGTGGATTTGAACTACTAGAGACACATAGCCTTTGGGTCAGTAGCTCACTGTGCCCTCAGTCTCTAACTGAAACATATTAGAAACATAGCCTTTCTTATGACCCATGAGCTAGAGTGGTGTGGTTAAAGCTAAGAGAACAGCTTGGCTAGGCTCTTTTGATAAAGCTATTGGGTATTGCTGGGTTACAGATGGCATCCATGTTTGCACAGTCATTTGCATCACAATCAGCAGCACTATAAATGAGCCTGTAGAATGAAATAGTCCATTACTGATAGAAAAGCAGGATCTAAAAATAAATAAATAAATAAAGGGAGTTTTACTTTGGAAATGAGCTTAAAGCAAAAAAAGGCGTATGACAACAATCTGGAACAAGGGGTGCATTGCTGGGTGGGCTGGGAGGGGAGGGAAGGAAGAAAAGGTGCAATAAAAAAATATAAATTAAAAAAGCTAACTGGGGGAAGGGAGACAATTGTGTAACAATGAATGAATAAAAATCCAGCTTTTCTGTAAAAAAGAAAAAAGTAGAAGTCTTTAGGGGGAGATCATCAGGTGGAAACTTGCCCCTTTAAACAGATCACTGAATCCTTTAAGACTTGTGCAGATTTGATAAACAGGGCAACACCATGCACCTTCCAGAAACAAAAGGTTCTACTTTTAGGTAGAAGGGACGCTGAAAGAATCCAACCACTAAGTTATCTCCTAAGATGACCCCACAGTGCAGGCTGAGGGTGGAAGTAGGGGGAGGGGACAAGTTTGCTGCCAAGGCATTGAAAAAAAAATTTCAATTTGCAATGACTATGCAATCTTCTACTCCATTTTCCTTAACATTCAGGTATAAAATTGTTTCCTAAATTCAACCCCCAGCAGCTCTAACAAAACTGGAGACGTCCAAGGTAGGCGGCTTCAGAGAGAGAGAGAGAGAAAAAAGCTTCTGTAATATCTATCACTAGGTGCACTGAGAGAGGGCAAAGATCTCAACATTGAGATTCCTGAAGATTTTCTAGGTTGGTTCAAGCTGAGATGGACCCAGCGCGAGTCCATCACTTTTATCTTGTCAAGTAGATTTACATTAACCATGGTTCCATTCTGTAGTTTTTAAAGGTAAGACATTAAAGTCCTACATAACAATTTCTAGAGCCCTCGGTTTCACTAACGGGACCGACACCATTTCGAACTCTAAGATTCAAGAAGAAAGACCAGAAAGGTTAAGTAGTGGGCTCTCCAAACGCAATGCTGGTCCAAGAGCTGTGATGATTCCAACTCAGCCTGGGCGGCTCAATCGCTAAGCGACAAAGCCACGTGTCCCCAAGGCCAAGGCTAAGCGACTGATTGTGCCCTCCCCTCGCACTAGGCAATCGCTATCCTCACGTAGGGTCCTCTAATACCTGCTTGCCAACCCAGCCAGAACAGCTTCGCCTCGTGCTCCATCTTGACTCCACCCCACCGCACGGCGAGAATAAACGTGAGGTAAAATAACGGTAACATCCCGTGGGGCACGCACGCCACCAAGCTATCCCTCCCGTCGCCCCCGCCTTTCACAACTCAGCCGGCGGCCCCATCCCCACGGCGTGCGCCGCTCATGAGAGCCCCCCCCAAGACTGGGGCAGGTGAGGGCTGCAGGTGCTTTCCAAGTTCACCCTTACCAGGTCTCCTGATTGCTGAATTTCTTAGTCACCACCTTGCCAAGCTCCAGGCCCAGGCGGTCAGCGATTTTCTGAGATAAGTCCTGGTGGGAGCTGCCGCTGAAGATTTTGATATTCGGCATCCTGGCAATTCCCTTGGGCCCTCTGGGCACAGTGATCACTGCTGCTGCCGAGGCTGAAATCCGAGCCTGATTTGAGACTCAGAACTAACCGCTTCGCGTTGCTACTCCGCCATCTTACATTCCCGCCGGGCGCGCGGCTCTA